TCCTGAAAGGAGCCACGCTTTGCTTTGTTGACAGTGCAAACCCTTGCACTTTTCTCACTCAGCTTCATGACGTTGTCACCTGAAATGGTTTCACCCCACAGGTTTGCCTTGTCAGGGTTCATCTCTGGAATTTCTTGCCTTCTTCATGGGATTTGGGATCATCAGTGCAGAAGTCAGGTTGGTACACAGCTGGCGGCCCTATTTAACAACTGTTAGAATTCATATTATGGCAAGAACCAATCAGGTTTCTTGTGAATGCTTCCAGTGACAATAGCCATCTGCAGCCACAAGATGGCAGGTATGTAAAGGATAGATACAAACAGACAAGGAGCTTTATGATGCTGAAATGAAAGGTGAGACATCATTTTTACTGTAGTACATTTTAGTTTATGACTATTTTTAGATTTGATTAGGCAGTCAGTGCTTGCCTTCCTTGTCTTAACAGAGCGCCGCTGTATCGTAGGACTGGTTAGAGTCTGATGTTGTACCTGGTATCTGCAGGACCCACTCTTCCAGTTTGTGGGTTATAGCTCCTTTACCACTGGGACTGCTGTTTCCCATGGTACTTCTCTATTTTCTCATGAACATTTTTCCTGATGTTGGTGCCGTAATGCTTGAATGGGTTGGAAGATTATGGCATCGAGTTAAAAGGGGTTTCAGGTTACATCGTAAGCTACTACATAGAGGTCTAAATCAAGCATTCCAGTGTCTATGGATGTCTATGGATGTCTATGGATGTCTATGGATGTCTATGGATGTCTATGGATGTCTATGGATGGGGCATTTGAGAACATAAAATACCTTTCCAAAGAAACACACCCCTGCTGGGATAATAAGATGGACAAAGGAGGAGATAGAAGCCACCGACATCAAGACCAGGAAGCTCCTGACCATGCATGGAGGGTTTCACCCTAAGTCCAGCACCCTGAGGCTGTACGCTAAGCAGAAATCCTTCCAGTGGCTGGACAAAGCTGGACTGAAAGACAGCACAGTGGCACTAATCATGGCAGCACAGGAACAAGCTCTGAGCACAAGATCCATAGAGGCTGGGGTCAGACCCCACACTGTAAAATCTAATTAGTTCCCAGAACTCAAAAAAATTGGGGAAACTCGTTGACTCAAAAAATTGAGTAAAGCTTAGCTAAAAATGACTAAATTAGGACAACTTATTTATTTTGAGTACTCTGTACAAGCTCATTTGTTCCCAGAACTCAAAAAAATTGGATCAAGTTTACGTAAGATGACCAAGTTAGGGCAACTTACTCATTTTGAGTACACTGTACAGCCTTGTTAGTTCCCAGAACTCAAAAAAATTAAGGAAACTCGTTGCCTCAAAAAAGTAAAGCTTACTTAAGATGACTGTTAGGACGACTTATACAGTGCAAGTCTGCAGTATTAAGAATAACTTGATATTTCTGACTGTACAATACTAATTGTTTACCTACTGACAAACATTTCAAGTTCAACTAAATGAAATATGATCAGAACCTGCCTCCCCCCCCTACTCTGGACCCACACCAATTCACATACTGAGGAGGCCATAGCCATCGCACTGCACACAGCACCGAGCCACCTGGAACAACAGGGGAACTATGTCAGAATGCTCTTCATCGACTTCAGCTCTGCCTTTAACACAATAATTCCAGACATTTTGATCACCAAGTCAGCCAGCCTGGGGCTCCCGCCATCCACCTGCTCTTGGATAAAGGACTTCCTGGTCAACAGACCCCAGCGGGTGAAACTGGGTCCTCACCTCTCTTCCCCTCACACTCTCAGCACCAGCTCCCCCCAGGGCTGTGTACTAAGCCCACTACTCTACTCCCTCTACACATATGACTGCAGTCCCGCCCACCCAGAGAACATCATTGTCAAATTTGCTGATGACACAACAGTGATGGGGCTGATCACAGGAGGAAATGAGGCGGCTTACAGAGATGAGGTCCTGAGACTGGGAGAATGGTGTGCATCAAACAACCTGGCACTTAACATCACCAAGACCAAGGAACTCATCCTGGACTTCAGGCAGAACAGAACTGCCCCTGCCCCCCTGCACATCAACAGAGAATGTGTAGAGTGAGTGGAGTCCTTCAAATTCCTTGGCTTCCACATCTCTGCAGACCTCTCCTGGTTAGCTAACACCACGGCCCTAGTCAAGAAAGCCCAGCAGTGGCTACAGTTCCTAAGGGTGCTCAGGAAGGAGCAACTAAACACCCCGCTGCTGGTGACCTTCTACAGATCCACCATCAAGAGCCTGCTGACCTGTGCAGTGACAGTGTGGCACGCCAGCTGCAGAGGGTGGTAAACACAGCACAAAAAATCATCGGCTGCCCTCCAATGTGGCGATCGTGGCTCAAGAGTTGGGAGTTCGCCTTGTAATCAGAAGGTTGCCGGTTCGAGCCCCGGCTCCGACAGTCTCGGTCGTTGTGTCCTTGGGCAAGACACTTCACCTACTGGTGATGGTCAGAGGGCCCGGTGGCGCCAGTGTCCGGCAGCCTCGCCTCTGTCAGGGTGGCTGTGGCTACAATGTAGCTGCCATCACCTGTGTGTGTGATTGGGTGGATGACTGGATGTGTAAAGCACTTTGGGGTCCTTAGGACCAAGTAAAGCGCTATACAAATACAGGCCATTTACCATTTGTCTGCTGTCAACAACTCCCGTTGTCTTAGTAGGTCCAGAAAGATTTTAAATGACACTACCCACCCCGGCTGCCATCTTTTCAACCTCATGCCCTCTGGCAGGCGCTATAGATCCATAAGGGCCAGAACAAACAGACTCAGGGGCAGCTTCTTCCCCAAAGCCATCACCGTACTCAACTCAAACTTGTACAAAAAGCAATCTGCACTGAAATACCATCAACTCTCTGCTGGTCTGTCTCTGTCAGTACTGTACTGTGTATTTATATTTATAGTAAGTGTATAGTTTTTATAATGTGCTATAAGCACGTGTGCACTTTTATAGAGCCGTTTCTAATTTCGTTATACTATGTATAATGACAAAGGCTTTCAACTTTCAACTTAATCGGAGCACTCGGTGCGGTGACTCCCAAGCTAGGCGAGTGGCTCCAGCAGATCCCGGGAACAACATCAGAGATCTCTGTCCAGAAGAGCGCAGTGCTAGGAACAGCTAAGATACTGCAGGACCCTCAAGCTCCCAGGCCTCTGGTAGAGGACCCAAATCACCTGCAGGTGCGAGAGGGGAAAAACTTTCTTTTTTGTTCTTTTTATAGATTTTCA